ATGGTCCCGCGGGGCCAGCGCGAGGTGCTGATGCCGCTGGCAGACGTGTCGCGGCTTCGCCCCCTGGAAGTGGCTCCACTCCGTGCTCGATATCATGCGCTGCTCCGGGTGCAGGTCTTGTAGGGGCGCCGCGATCTAACGTTACTTGTGTGGGGGCGGGGCGGCGGGTAGAGCGAAACTCGCTTAGAACTTAAGGGTGGTGAAATTTAACCTATTTGACGCTTTATGCTGCTAGCTTCCCTGTTGCAGGCCTAGTCGCAGGAGTGACTCCGACGTTGCACGCGCATGCTGGTGGTCCTGGGGATGGGGTAGACCTCTGATGACGACAGCGGCGGTGTCTGACGCGGTGCTCTTGTTGCAGGCGGCGAGCGCAGCTCCTCCAGCGGGGCGTCCCTCGAGGAGGATCCTGGAGATGTGTCCGTTGACAAGGGCCCCGAGCTGGACGAGCTAAAACAAGAGGGCGAGCAGCTGGGGCTGGTGGTGACGGCGTGCTTCTCGCTGCAGGACGAGCAGTGCCCCGCGGAGGACGCGGCGAGTAGTGAGGGTGACCCTGGGGACTTCGCGGCACAGCCAGAGCAGCGCGTCGAAGATGAAGTGGCATCTCCACCCGGCGACGCGTCCAAACTGGGTGCTTCGGCCGTTCTTCGTGCCGTCCGGGATGGAACCCGCGATGCTCAGCCGGTGCAGAACCAACAGCAGGACGACCAGAAGGCCTCGAGGGTGCTGTGGAAGAAACATCTCGGCCGGAAGTCCACCGGCAGCGGGAGCGGGAGCAATCCCACTGGCGCTCTGCAGGCAAAGTCGCGCGGGCGCACCGGAGAGGCCTTTAAATGCGAAGTTTGCGAGAAGCGTTTTGCATGGGCGAGTCATCTGAAGACGCACAAAATGTACCACACTGGTGAAAAACCATTTTGCTGTGACCTCTGTCAAATGCGTTTTACTCAGAAAGGCCATCTTGTCGTTCACCTGAGGACACACACTGGTGAACAGCCATTCAAGTGTGACGTATGCAAAATGCGTTTTACTGTGAAAGGTCATCTTGTCAGGCACGCGAGGACGCACACTGGTGAAAAGCCTTTCGAGTGTGTCGTCTGTAAAATGCGTTTTACTCAGAAAGGCACTCTTGTCGATCACATGAGGACACACACTGGTGAAAGGCCATACACGTGTGATGTGTGTAGCAAGGCTTTTAGTCGAAAATCAAGACTCAATAAACACACAACAATTTGTATGTCTATTTAACATTGTTTTTAATTTGTTTAATTGTTTGTAAAGCCAGAGCAGGCAGGTTTTCAGTATTGATTGTAAACCTTTGTAAAATGCATTTTACTGAAAAGGGCCATCTCGTCATGCACGTGAGGACACACACTGGTGAAAAGCCATTCAAGTGTGACATATGTACAATGCGTGTTACTCAGAAAGGTGATCTTGTGAGACACATGAGGACACACACTGGTGAAAAGCCATACAAGTGTGACGTATGTAAGGTGTGTTTTACTCAGAAGGCCCATCTTGTCGGCCACATGAGGACCCTCACTGGATTGTAATAAGGGCTACAGCCATAAGCCCAGTCTCAATAAACACAATTATTTGAATTTCTTTTGAAAATTATTCCTTTTAATTCCTAAACTGTATCAAGATGAGGCAGTTTTTGAGCAATTATTGTAATTTATTTATATTTGTTTTTTGTCATACAAATTAAAATGACGGTATACAGATGATATCAAACCCGCGGATTTTCGATTTTGTTCCTTGCTGGGGCATGCCGGCATGTCGGTTACGTGGCGGTCCTTGCACATTTAGCTGTGACCTCTGTCTTATGCGGTTCGTTAAAAAGTGCCATTTTGACGGTCACGTGGGGACGCACACTGGTGAATAGCCATACAAGTGTGACATTTGGTGTGATGTGTGTAAGAAGTCCTTTAGACTTAAGAGTGGTGAGCTATATTCAATTAAGCGTTTTTCGTGAGCTACGCGCCCCCAAGCGTGGCCCAAGCGTGAGCTCCGCTTGGCGCGGCGTTGATCGCGGGCGCCGTTCCTCCCCGCTCCCTGCCCCTCGCCCTGCTCACGCTTGCAGAAGCGCACGCTTGGGGTCGCGTAGCTGAGAGAAATGCTTAGTTGAATATAGCTGTGCTCTTTTTCCAGTTGGTGATCCCAGCCAGAATTGACAGTCGATTCGACGTCGGATCGATGTACAGATAGTCGAATCGAGGTCGATTCGATTATAATTTCTAGCTAGGGATGTATATGGAGAAATAATGGATCAGGGAGGTTAGTGTCCTGGTCGAGGGGACTAACTGATTGTAAATTCAAGAAGAGAGCCGCGCACCGCCGCTTTGGGCCGCTTATTACTGTTTAATCTGAAGGACAGTGGAGTACACTTCATGCGGGATCACTGACATCACGGAGCGTGCTGTACCTGCCCCTCATGGCAAGCTACGTAAAGTGCTGCGTTTTTGTTGGCCGAGCCTCGTTGAGCCGGTGCAGAGGCTTCAAAAGGAAAGTGACGGACGCTATCAAAACACGGTGTGTGAGAGAGTGAGTGCGCGCGAGTACAGGCGCTAGTCTGCATGGGAACGTGCTTCTAACGGGCCGGGTGTATCGCCCGGCACTGCGCTGCGCTGGGCGAGTCGCTGGCAGAAGGAAGGTAAGGTGGCGGCCCACTTGAGGCGGTCGGTATGTACGACTGGGTCCGTACGTGCGCGCTGGGAGGCGCTGGTACCTACTGCCTCACCTTGCTCGGGTACTCGGACTCCTCCTCCCCACACTGCACGCCACATTCATTCAGCAGCAGGCCCGGGCTGCGCACGACCGGCTGTGGAAGCAGCAGGGGCAGGGCGAGGAGGAGGAGGGAGGGGGCCGCACGGAGCGGCTAGGGGGGACCTCGTTATGAACCTCACACAGCCTTCCGCTGCGGCAGGGGCGGTGCGGAGAGCGTCGCGAGGGTAAGGGGACGTTTGTTCATGTGATGAATAGGACAACGACTGCAGGCAAGGTGTCACGGCAGGTGGCGCCTACTGTGATCAAAAGGGGTCAGCAGGGCTAGCAAAGTTAGAAGGAGCGTATCCCCAAAAGGCATTTAAAGTGGCGTTGTGAAGAATGACAGTGGCAGTGTGTACTGGGCCGCGCACTTCTCGTCATTCTCTTGCAACCTAGTTACACGTGAGCAGGTGGATCTGGTGACGGCAGCGTGTCACCTTCCGCGTGACGTCACGTTACGTATGCAATGCATAGCGTATCGTATCGAATGCTGGTGAGAAAGGCGCTGCAACGGTAACCGCCTTGCGGTAGCGTGACGGGGTGGGGCGGGCGCGTGTGCGGGGAGGTCTGCATTGCCAGTGATAAGATAAAGACGAGGGAATGAGTCAAAACGAGCGGTATGGGGCCCTGGCGGAGGTCAGCGCCGTGGTGCGGAGTGTACTCGGTGGGACTCGCACGGCCCCACTTCCTCCAGGGCGTGGAGGCTGCGCTATATACGCGTGAACGACTGTTGTCGCACTTCCAGCTCTGTGCGCATCCAGCGCCCTGTGTGGGAGCAAACTACTCGCACCGCTTTGAGCAGCCTTGGCATTGACCTCATTGTGTAACGCATGCACGCTGCTCGGCCCCGCCCCACCCCGTGCTGGACCTGGTCCGCCGCCATTCCACGAGGGGAAAAGCATTGGCGGACGTGCGTGGATTCCAGAATGGCACGAGACATTTCTCATACCCGCCGCCTGCCGCCTGGAGGCGGTTCTTTATTAATCCCAACTCGCTCATTTATGCCTCTTTGAAAAATTGGTCTCACCTGCTGACGGCTCCAAACGCCTTTTGCCGCCTCATTTCAATGGCGGTCCGGCGATAGTGACCTTCCCGTCGGGATAATGCGCGCTGGAGGCTGCAGCAGCTGGAGCGTCATTGGCTCTCTACCCGCGCGAGCAGCGCCGCCCGGGGCACAACGGGTTGACTCGGGTGTGTGCCGACCGGTCGGCCGCGCCCCGCCCCGCCGCGCCCCGCCCCGCCCCGCCCCGCCGAGTTAGGCCCGTACTGGACCGGCCCACCACCTTTCCATTTCGCTGGAGAGCCTGGCGCTGGCCACTCCAGACCATACACAGCGAAAATTCTCGCGAAAGTGAAAGCAAACACAGGAGGGCGGTGCCGGGCGCGGCCCTGCAGCAGGGCGCAGTCCAACGCTGCAGCTGCGGGCTGCGGGGCCCGGCCCGGCCCGCCCGGCCCGCCCGGCCCGGTGTCCAGCAGAGTCCAGTCGCCTGGAACACAATGGCTAAGGAAGTTGGAGCACCGCCGTTGATGGCGGCTCCAGTTTTTAACGCGGCCGTGTGATTGCGGCCCGTGCGTATAATACGTCGCCGTTAAATGTTCTTACCGAGCATGTTTTTTTTTCTTATTTTTATTAAACGCACTATACAATACGCAGTATCGTCCGAGGGAACGCCCTGGCCTCCGGCTGCCGCTGGCCGTCGGCGCGGTGCAGCCGGTGCAGCGCACCCCGAGCAGTGCAGCGCCAGCGCCCCGTTACTTCTCGGTCTTGTTCTCTGTCATTGCGGGCGTGGTCTGCCGGCCTGGCACTCGGCCGGTACTCGTCACCCTAATACACTGTCATTTATTTTCGAACGCAGCGCATATGGTCACCTTTTGTCGGCGACGCCTCTAATTTGCCGCTCGGGAAAGGTGACAAAACGAATCTCTATTTTCGGTCGCGCATAATTTTCCATCACTTCACTTGTGAAGGCAATCACCACGGCTCCGCATATTCTAGGCCAGAGCGACACGCGGTTTTGCAACGACAAGACTGGAAAGGTGACTCCGCAAACCGCATAGCGGTCGATTTGTATATTTGCCAATGTACGGCCACGAATTTGACGCCTTCGGATCGCATAGAGCAGCTGCGGCGTTGCCACCACCGACGAGCATCAAAACAAACCCAAGTGACGCAAGGCGGGGGGGAGGGGGGGGGAATGGGTTAGCAAAAAGAAGTATCTCCCGCGCTGGGTGGTCCGGCCGGATCGACACCGAGGCCTTGCTTTTGGCGCGCGCCGGGCGACGACAAGCTTCAACTTCAAAGTGGGTTCAGCGTTATCAGAACTACCGTCCTCGTCCTGCTGCTGTACTGTTTTCCTCCCATTCTTCCTCTTGTCCCTCACGGGCGCACGGGCGTGTCTTTGTCCGCCCCGCCCGCCCTTGCTGCCCCGTCGGCGTGCTCTTGGGCGGGGCGATGCAGCCAAGCAAGACCTACTTCATTTCACTTGACTTTGTCGCTGTCATCCATTCCAACCCGGCCGACGTCATGATGACCCAGATCGCGCTATGGACTTACTTCCAAATTGGAGCCGAACTACCCAAGCATGGGGCCGGGCCCGAGCTGGGTCGCCTGGAGGTTCCAGGAGGAAAGGCCACGCCCGGGCGTCGCCGGCCGGGGGAGATGGGGCGTGGCGGGGCGTGGCGGGGCGTGGCGTGGCGTGGCGTGGCGGGGCGTGGCGTGGCGGGGCG